TGACCACCATTGGGAGTATTGAGAAAACTAATATGTGAATTGCAAAAACTCTTGCTGATTGCACTCAAACAGAAACTTGGTTAATATCTGGGCTTTACAATTAAGTCAGTTAGACACAGTGCTAGTAATCCAAGCCATGGCTGATTTGAACCCGCCACCGTTAATTATCATTCATCACACCGATTATTGGATCTGGCAAAATAAACGGAAATAGATCATAGAAACTGAGAAAAATCCGTTTTGAATCTTTCAGTATGATTCAACTTTTGGTTCGCTTTTAAACTTTAACTGTGTTATCATCTTTCTATCTCATCTGGTAGATACAGAACACAAGATTGATGTTAACGAGGCTTTCAAAGTCATCTACCTTAAGAGTACGTCTACAATATATTTCTGAGGATCTTGGGATCTACATTAGAAACCTAACTTACGTATCCAAAAGAAGTTGGGTCAAACACTTTCTCTACCTTGGCTGTCAATCAAGATTTTGATGATTCTTAATTTGTTGTGGAGATTTCCTTAATTTAATTTAATATTCTATTCACTATTACATTTTTATGCTTATTATAACTTATGCATCTTTCTTGAACTCTAATTCGATTAATCTTAAAAAATCGATATTACTTCAAAAAACACCAATACTGTTAATGACGATTATTCTAGAATGTTCTGCGTATATATATATATATATATATATATATATATATATATATATATATATATATATATATATATATATATATATATATTGTAGAGCCAGAAGAGAAAATTACCGAGAGGAATATTCTTTGCTCATATTTTCTTTTTCTGGCCATTACGAAATCCGGATAGCTGATTCACCGATGCCACTTACACCTGTTGAGTGGACTGACATAAGAACAAAGCATTGAAGTGATATCATTGTAGGTTCTTATTTGGTACCCCGTAGATGGCAGTACCTGCTCCTTGTTACCCAGTGTTCTTACTGGTACTCAAATCCTGCATACATCGCTTCAAACGTCAAAGTGTTATCCACTAGACTACTAAGCTAAGATAGTTATTTAATGCATTGTCGAACAACATGCTACTACGGTTAATTAACTAAAATCTTTCTCTCTGTCTCTGCCAGAAGACACGAAAAAATAGTTGAACATAAGGAAGAAGAAGAAGAAGAAAGACATACTAAAATAGTAACAGGCCGACATTAACAAACAACCTAAATCAGGAAATCTCTTAAACAGTATAACAAGGAAATTCATAATCGATACATGTGTAATGATTGAAATCTGTGGCAGTATGATGTTGTACACTGGTTCGCTTATTAGCTATATGGACGTTTCAATCACCTTGATTGTTTATCATATTATCTAATGTAGTATACTGACTATAAAACTTGATTTTTATATTTCCACTTTATGTTTCGTGAATAATGGCTAACACTGGTAATCAGGAAGCGAGTTTTTTCCCCACTTTGGAGCCATTAGTTGTATATGCTCACCTCGTCAGTGAGTGGTGCGTAGTGTTCCCATTGAAATGTGAATCCAAAACCTACTGATTTAAATGCCAGAGTGTTTTCTAGTAGTTCGGTGATCCATGAGGGCCACCTTAGGTGCAGGGTGGCATAACAGAGTGAGTAATATTTAGGTTAGGTCTCAAGGTTTAGGTAAGGAGGAGAAATCAATCGATGAGGTCATGCAGCTAGATCGATTGAGATGACCATGACATGTGTTACTCATCCCAGTGTTAGCTGAAATCGGATTAGATTGTAAAATAGTTAGGGGCAATCAAAACAAAACATGTCATCAGTCAATGAAATCCATAACAATTCGATTACTCCAGGCACATAGGAAGGTGTAGACTGCCAGTCTGGTTGTGGTTCTGGGGAAGGCAAGAACCAATGTAGGGTGGGATAGTTGATGATATGGCTCAGAATTCTTCTCAATGGCGCTGATTCATTCACTCTCTGTAATATGCTATATCCAATAAAAGCCTATTGTTTTCCCATATTACAATTCTTTCTTCCTCATATTTCTGTTTATTATCCTTCTTTCAAATCTCTTCTCCCTCTTGTTTGTCTTTCTTTGTGTTCTACATGAAGTGTGGTGAATTGATCTGCTGCACGTTTGTGCAAAGTTCTGTGCTGAAATCAGTCAGTTAGTCAGTAAGTGAAGGGAGTACTAGTTGTTCTCGTTTTTTATTTGTCCTGTGGGTAGTACAACTTTTCATGTATTTGTTCAAAGATTTTAGTGGAGCCCATTTAACCAAGTATTATGCTGTTTTTAAAACCATGCAATCGATGTGTGGTCAAATACGTGGGTCAAAGTAGTAAGGAGGGGTTGAACACAAAGATCTAGACAAATCCAGACTAGAAAACCCTACTAAGATAAGAAATCTGCAGAAAAGATTAGGCTATGCTACTGCTACATACATTCACATACAGCCATACAATGGCATGAAGCAGAGTGACATTCTTAAAATCTAATATAGCATAGTGGTAAGAAAGATTGACATCACAGGCATTGTTTACTGAATCAACTTAGAACACAAGTAAGAGAGATGATTCAACGCCTGTTCCGAATATCAGTAAAATTCTACCATCCATACAGCAAAACAAGAGATAAAGAGAAGAACTAAAACTATGCAAATCAAGTTTTGCAGTTCCCACAGTTGTTGTGTCATACTTGATTTGGTTATGCAGATTAAATTGTGTTCAAAAAGTCATCCAACATTGATAATCCTATTTACCTGTGTGGAAATGTTTCCTGGGTCTGGATGTGGCAAATTCACTATTTTGGCTGATGATATAAGATATATTGCTAGGCTATTCAAATATATGAAAATAAATGTGCCCAAATTCTTAAATCTCTCAGATTTCTACTTGTTTGAGTGCCTTAGCAACATGTACTACACTATCAGCCGACCTTTTTCTTTCGCCTATTTCTCTCTTTATTTCTCGTCTATATAATCCGTTTTACTTGCTGAATGCTTGGAGGAAATCGACAGGTAGCTCTGGACTAAGGTTTCGCCCTCATTGGCACTCCTCAACAAGTAGTATCTGATACGCTGAGGGAACTCATGTGCTTTCTGAGATTCGGACCAGGGTTACGTAGAGCTGCAGTCAAGAATATTACCATTGAGCTATCTGGGCTTCTGGTTGACCTCCCATAGGATTATAGTGGAGACTAGTTAATAATTAATGTCATTTGGAGTTAGTGCAGGCTGAATCCTAGCAGTCAAATTTGCAATGTGGTCAGCTTACTACATGGCTTGCCGTCATGGTGACGCTTGGAGGCAATCTTCAGGAAGCCAAGGACATATGTTTCGTGCTTTTTTTCCCACTCGTCCGTTTAAATTTCTATTAATATATATGTGTAAAACTTGGGCACTGTGGCAGTGAGTAATTCCATATTAGTTTGTTTATTAGATATACGACACAGTGAAACAGTATTATTTACTGGATGACACAGTTTCGAACAAAATCCATTGTTCATAATCATATCAATTGTAATCACACGACTTCGAGACTTGAGTTTTATAGTTTTCTTGGTTTTCTCCTATTTGTCGTAGGGGTAGTAGAATTTTCCAGATATCTGGGTGGAGAGGCGTTGAGTCATTCCTATTACATGTATTTGCAGTTGATTCGGTAAACAAAGCTTCTGTTATCAATCTCTCCCTATATCCTGTGACATTAGATTTTAAAACTATCATCCTATCCCATCTATTGTATGGTTGTGTAATTGAATGCAGTGAGTGCTATAGCTGAACTATTCTCTAGATTTCTTACCTTATTTGGGTCAACCAATCTAGATTTTGCTAAGTTTTTATATTCAGCTAGTCTGACTGACCCTGTTCTACCTGTGTGACCCATGTATTTGACCTCACAATCATTGCAGGGTATTAGATAAACTAAATTGTTTTGTTTTAAAGGCCCTACAGGCAGGATTCTTTAACGGACAAAGCTTGTTTCTAATTGAGTTTGTGGGTTTGAATGCCACTTTTATTCCTGCCTTGTTAAGAATTCTGCGTAAGGTTTCCGAGGTTCCTTCCTTGTATGGAATTACAGTTGATGATTTAGATTCCTTATTGTTGGTGTCGTCATTAATAATGTTATTATTATCACTATTATTATTATTGTTGTTAGTGTTATTATTATTATCCCTGTCGCTGCTGTAATTATTTATTTTATTTTTAATTTCCTTACATATTTCCTGACTAATTTATCCGGATAATTATTAAGTTTCAAGGCTTCTTTTATGTGTGTCTTAGATTTTCCTTGATACTACTTATTCTTTGTGCTCTGTCACTTAAACATTTTACCAATCCTATTTTCACTGACATAGAATGGGATGATCTGAAGTCTAAGTATCTGTTTGGATATGTGGGTTTTCTGTAAACACTAGTGTTTAACTTGCCATCTTCTTTCCTTTTTACGTTGCAATCTAACATTGGAAGTTCCCCTTCCTGACTTTCCAATTCATAAGTGAATTGAATTGCCTTTACCTTCGAGTTGATGTGTTCGAAAAATCTATCTATATCTTGTGTTCTGAGTACAGTGAATGTGTCATCTACATACCTCCACCATACTTTTGGGGTGAATTTAAATTTCAATTTCTATTCACTAAATGAATAAACTTGCTTTTCCCTGGTAAGTAACTAGTTCTAAGTCCAATTAAGAATAAAACTACAATATGCGCCGGGGCTTCAATGACATAATCCTCGGAAACCATGTATGTAATCAGATTCTCCACCGGACCGACGTAATCCTCAACCTCGCCCAGTTTACTAAGCCCAGTAAAGTCAGAAGGTTTAACGTCAAGGTGGCTACCTCACCATGTGAAAAACAGCCCTACTGCCAACTAAAGTTCAAAGCTTGAAGCCCTATGTTTCACCTGGAATGCAAAACAAAAGCAACAGTCGTCCTCTTCTTTTTATTTACTTATTTATTTAGTTTATTAACAATCGGAAAAAGATGATACATATTATTTTTCATCCTGTCTTTTCTTTTACTTATTTGGATGTAGTCAAAGAAACTGCAAGATCGTTTATCAACTATTGATAATAATTTAAACTCTCAGCTGGATCGTCTACATCAAGTCAATCAACAGTTGAGTGATACACTCAGCGGACAGCATAATCAAGCGAAACAAATTGAGTCGAAGTTTGAACAATTAAACAATTTAGTTCAACGTGTTACAAATGCTATAAACAATAGTTGGACAGCTTTTGACAATGCAAAATTAATGTTGTCAAAATTTGAAAGTAAGTTAATCTAAATAGCTCTTACTGATTTATTTCATTTAAAGAAGCTATTTGATTAAAGTATTACAGTTGTTTAGGATTTTTGTCAAGATTGAAGAATCGAACACCATCCTTCTCAGGCACCTTAAGTTGACCAGTCCCAAGTAAAACGAAATGCGCACATCTTGAAATCCGCTACAAGTCAGTCTCAACAAATAATCTAAAGTGTTCTTGAAACACTTTGTGAATTTCAACAAAACAATATGAAGACGTTATTTATCTGAATCGTGTAATGTATATTTCCGCAACATATTTCAAACAGTCTCATCACCCACTTAATTGTCATAGGAATAAATCCGAAAATAATAAAACTTTATGGGGTGAGGGAATGGACATGAGTAAAGTTAAAGGGTTATACTAAGAGTGAAAACAACGGTTGAGACCAACAAACCAAAGAAGAGAGATAATAGTACATCTGCTTCGGTAACAAAACAAAGTTTACCAGGAAAGGTTTATTGTGATGACGAATTGTTTTTGAATACATATAAGTGGTGTAAACTTCCTAGTTTCTAGGGCTTCTACAGACTTTAGGATGCGCCTCAAGTGAAAAGCTAGGTCGTGTGTTTTCAACATTAATACTTTTAGGGGATTCCACTTGCTTCTGAAGCACTTATTTGCAACAATCATTGAATCCCCCATTGGTATGCCTGCCCACACGTACATTCTAATTGGTAAATACAGTGTGATATCATATCATTTTTTTTTCATTTTCTAAGGGCTTAGGCGGATGGATATAAAGGTTTCACATTTTCAAGTATAATGATGTTAGCTACATAAGAAGTCTTCATAATCATAGAGTTCAATCTTTGTCTAGTTACCAAGCTGTAATGATCACCCATATAGGTAGATTCATGTATACGTCTTTTTTAGCGCGGAGTTGGAGAATGCATCTTGATGTTCTGACCACTTTATATCTCCTTACGAACTTCTCTGGATAAGTATTATCAAACGAAGTTTCCGTCAGTTTTCGTTCCTCATCTTCAAGTGTATCTTTTGTGCATTTTTTGTTGGATTCTACTGAGGAGGTACTCCACCAAGGCTATTTTGTACGTAACATTGGAGGAGCTGTGGTAATTAAGATACAGTCATGTCCATGGAAGGTTTTCTATAAGTACATCGTCTACCAAGTAACATATCTAAGAAAGATAAACAATATACTTCTATTCTACAGACGTAAGCGGTATATTGTTCCGCATTTTATTCGTTCTACCTAAAATTGAAGTGACTGAACAAAAATCATCACTTATGATTACAAAGTCATCGATATACCTTCTATAAAGTGTTACATTTTCCATTAAATCTTTCGAAAAACTCTCAGTGTGCGACACACAGATAGATATCAACAGGCTCCGCATAGCAACACCGATCTGACAGAAACAGTCACCTTCAAATGTGAACCTAACATTACCAGTTTATGGAATTGACAGGTCTTCTAAATAAGACAGAGGAAACAGGAACAGGAAGTAATGTGTGGAAATGTAAAGTGTATTGACTAGGTTTAACTTCTCAACACATATTATTATGGGATAAATCAGCTGATAAACATTGCTTTATTATACCAATGAAGATCATATGAAACCAGTAGGAAACAACGGAATGAGTAAAGGTTAGAGTGACTCGAGAAGCTTTCTTCACTAGATAAACAAAGTAAAGTTGAATAAAATGTAACAGGTTATTACTATTTTTATTATTGTTCCACTGAACTACGAGTGGAACTTTCGACTTCAACAAAATACCTCCACTTGATCCTATTTGCTGTGGTCCTCGTAAGTTGGCCCCATGATTTCCATAGTCTCTAACCTCCCCCTCACACGATCTCCTCCATGTCACCTTCGGACCCACACCTGATTTATCGTTTCCCATTCGAGTTCTACTTGAGCTATGGCCTGTGGCGCGACAAAAAGTAATAATAGCTTTATTATAAATAATGTTTATATATTGTACAGAATTCTCACTGGTGTTTATTGCATGATATTTTCTCTTTGTCCAAGATCGTCAAAAAAAAAACATTAGTTACCCCAGTAGATCGTATGACACAGTTCTATCTAACCTGAAGCGCAAACCAATCCACCATTATAATATCTCTTCTTTTTCTCCTACGAGAAATATACATATTTTGTTGCTTGCCAATCATAAAAAGTTCAAGAATACATTTTGTGAATGAAGGACACCACTCGGGAATTGTCATCTCATGCATTGAGATGAGATGTCATGGAGAATAATCCTTCTTCTCCCCTTTTATTAGAATTTTGCGAGTCAGCAGGTTGTGAGTATTTTAAATGCCCTCCAGAGCAAACAACAGTATTATTAGAGGTCACACTTTTTTTTAGATGTAAACAGACTGAATAAGAGAAATTATATGCAGTATACTGATGGAGGTTTTTCGGTAGCTCAAGTCTTAAGCAAGCCACCGCAATGGTTAGAAGACCATTGATGTCACCCAGCGGTCTCTTCAAATTGTGGCCAACCCGTCTCTACTTTTTGTCGGAATATTTGTTGGGCAACAGGTTCTTGGTTGGTTCGTTCCCAGAGTCCCCTGTTGTTTATCCTTTCTGGTCATCTAATCTTCAGTATGGAGCTGATGAAGGTAGCTGTTTATAGAAGTCTGTCTCAGCTTCTTGGAAATGCTTTTCGTGACGCGCTAAGTTTCTGATCAGGTTATTTCCATTTATTACTGAAACATACTTTTAACAAGTTGATAATTATACTGTTGTGACATGACTGTGAGCAATGAACTGTAGTAAAGCGTTTGACCAGTCAAACAAAATGTTTAAGTAACACATTAAAAAATCTAAATAATGAAATAAACCTGACTGAAGAAGTACTGCACCTTAGTAACTATCTCATAAAATTCATTAAGAAGTTCAAAACAGTTCACAGTAAAAGAAGAAAGAGTAGTGAAACTAGTGACTGCAATATAAATAAGAAGGAATTTAAGTCATCCATAGCGCTGTCATATAGTGAAGGAGCTCTACGTGGAATTCGCAATAAAGAAGGAATGATGTTGGCATTTAAACTCACAGACTCACTCAGCGATAAACTGTGCCGGCTGAAAGACCCTACTAACTGAATTAGTCAAAATATTGAGTCCGTAAAATACCTTGGAACGACTTTTGGGGTCACCCACACAACTCACTTCAATATATTAGCGTTACTGGAATATAAGAATTTCGGTTAATCGCAGAATTATTAACCACAAAAAGTATAATTGCAGTGCGTGCAGTAAAACATAATCACACAACAGGGTGGGATAGATCTACATTTCTAAAAGTTGAATAGGGGGGAGGGGGAGGTTAGTCACTGAATAATTATCGATCAAGTCCATGCTAAACATTTGCAATAGGAACGACTCAATACCGATATTCAAATACATACACCAGACTTTTTTATATCAAGTGTATACAGTTAATTGGATATATTGTCATCATTATGTTGAGTCACTATATGCTTGGCTCTTTTTGGATTATCACAAGACACTATTGGTAAGTCGAGGTTTGAATCAACCTTATCCCAACTAATTCATTCATTGATTTCCACTTAGACAATCCATGTTATAAAGTGTGATTTATGACTTCTTGGGAAAGTGTTTTGAGTCAGATCATGAGCACATGTGTAGAGAACCATTGAAAACCGGGAGAAACTGGCCTCTCCATCAATACACACTAACCCCCTCCAGGTAGTCGAACTTCCCGACTACAAAGCCAGCTCGTGAAACGCTAAGCTATGGGAACGGAATCCAACAGTTCACAAATTTCAAACATGAGAAATTCCCACTTCATGTAATCAAGAACACATCAGTCAGCAGAAAGGTCTCTTTTCGTAGCTTCACTTCAAAGGTGTACAGTTATTTACAGGGTTCATATGCACAATACAGATTGATAACAGAGATCAAAGGCTACTGTCAGTTACTAGCAACGCAAATCAAACTGCATGAACAATAACTGTGTTTGAAATAGCTGATAAGAAATAAAAGAATAAAGGATTGGAAATGAGATACAAAAAACATAAAATGGAATCCAGAGAGTTTACAATATACAGTTATCCATGAAAACAAAGCAGAAAGAAGTACCAAGGCTATGGTAGTAAAAGAGGTCGGAAAAACATTGCTGAGCACAAAGTTTAGGTTTCTTCTCATGAATTGCTAGAGCTTCAGTTGTATGAAGAAGATGTGAGTGGAATCCTCTGAAATAACTCGGTCGTATATTATACATATGACTCTGAAAGAAGTCTCTGCTGATTCTGAATTACCAACATTGAGCTATTGATCGTGACTGGTCTACCCTCTCTTTCTGACTGCCATGCTGTTTATTCTCTAACTGATGTGAACTCGTTATCTAACTTGAAATTAAATTAAATCCCCGCCAGTCATTTATTTGAAAGTATATCTGCCTCTTTCTGGTTGAAATTCGTGTAATCCTCTCTGGATTCTAAGTAATGTGCTGACATAGTTTTTCTTTAATTACAGTATTTCACATAGTCTGCTCAAAATTCTTTTCTTGGTCAAAATCGAATGCTTCTCTTTACCTCTCTCTCTCTCTCCCTCTTATTTGTGTACTCATTTTAAGATTTTTCAATCTGAGTAAATGAACAGACTGAAAATAACTGACTTCATTAAGTAAGTTAAATTTGCCACTGTCTAATACACATATTTTTTATTGGTAAAAAAAGAGAATTTCTTCACTTCTTATTTCTCTTAAAATCACCCATCATTCAAAAGAAAATGTGTTAAATTCCATTAATCACAGTGATATTCGATTTCCTCTTGCTAAGAATAAAGTACGCCCACGCAATCTTATAACAGACAGACAAGTTAACATTTTTAACACGCACGTACGCACATATGTACATACAGGTACACACACACACGTAGATACACATACACACAATGATACATTACCTCAAGCGAAAGTTTCCATCCATTAGGAAATCATTAGGAAATCAAAACTATGTGATGGCTACAA